AACCCCACTAACCAACCCCACTGACCAATCCAGTGACCAATCCTGGTGACAATCCCCACTAACCAACCCCACTAACCAGCCCCACTGACCAACCCCACTGACCAGCCCCACTGACTGACCCCAGAGCCCTCTGACCAACCCTGGTGACCAACCCCGGTCACTAACCCCAGTAACCAACCCCACTGACCAACCCTGGTGACCAACCCTGGTGACCAAACCCCACTGACTGACCCCACTGACCAACCCCGGTGACCAACCCAAATGACCAACCCCAGTGACCAACCCAAATGACCAACCCAAATGACCAACACCACTGACCAACCCCGGTCACTAACCCTGGTAACCAACCCCGCTGACCAACCCCACCAACCCCAGTGACCAACCCTGGTGACCAATCCCGGTCACTAAACCCACTGACCAACCCCACTGACCAACCCAAATGACCAACCCCGGTCACCAACCCTGGTGACCAAACCCCACTGACCAACCCTGGTGACAATCCCACTGACCAACCCCAGTGACAAACCTGGGTGACCAACCCCACTGACCAACCCCACTGACCAACTCCACTGACCAACCCCACTGACCAACCCCGGTGACCAACCCCAATGACCAACCTCACTGACCAACCCAAATGACCAACCCCACTAACCAACCCCACTAACCAACCCCGCTGACCAACCCCACTGACCAACTCTGGTCACCAACCCCACTGACCAACCCCACTGACCAACCCTGGTGACAAATCCCCACTGACCAACCCCAGTGACCAACCCCAGTGACCAACCCCAGTGACCAATCCAGTGACCAACCCTGGTGACAAATCCCCACTAACCAGCCCCACTGACCAGCCCCACTGACCAACCCCAGTGACCAACCCTGGTGACCAAACCCCACTGACCAGCCCCACTGACCAACCCTGGTGACAAATCCCCACTGACCAGCCCCACTAACCAACCCCGCTGACCAGCCCCACTGACCAGCCCCACTGACCAGCCCCACTGACCAGCCCCACTGACCACCCCCTGCCCGTTTAACCCCTCCCTCGCCGTCTCTCACCCCGACACTCCGCATCAGCCGTGGCCGTGCACTCCCGCACCAACACCTCGTTGTCCTCGCAGGTGGTGCAGGGCAGGCAGGGATCCACGAAATTGGCCTCGCTGGAGAAGGTGCCCTCGGGRCACTCCTCGCACACCGTGTCCTGCGAGTCCTTGCAGGGGAACATGAGGCCGAAGCCCGCCTGGCACACGCGGCACTCCTGGCAGCCGCCGCTCGAGTCGTTCTGGAAGTATCCGTAGGCGCAGCGGCACACGGCGTCGTCCGACTCGACACAGGGTGCTGACATGCTCTGCAGCCCCACGCACTGCGTGCAYGGCTTGCACGGCTCCGTGGCGCTCACCGTGTCCGAGTAGGTGACACCTGCGGGGACAGGGCCACAGTGAAGTCACCGGGATGCTCAGGGGGATGGATGGGATGTGGTTGGGATCAAATCGCTGTTCCTGTCACCGGTATTTCCAGCTGCGGTCAGAGGGTCACAGGGAGAGGGGTCCCCGCTCTGCGGCCCCACAGCAAATCCAGTGCTTGCCTGGGTTCTTCTTTCCATTAACATCTTTCCTATTTCCATTTCCCATTAACCCCATTCCTACAGAAATTCCCAGCTTTGATCATCCTTCCAGGTTCCTCTTCCCATTAACACCTTCCCCATTCCTGCAGAAATTTCCAGCTTTGAGCATCCCTCCAGGTTTCTCCTCTGATTAACACCTTCCCCATTCCCATTTCCCACTGACACCTTCCCCATTCCCGCAGCAATTCCCAGTTCTGAGCATCCCCCAAGTTCTTCTTCCCATTAACACTTTCTCCATTCCCACAGAAATTCCCAGTTCTGGGCATCCTTCCAGGTTCCTCTTCCCATTATCACCTTCCTCATTCCTTTGACACCTTCCCTTTTCCTGCTTCCCACTGACCCCTTCCCCATTTCCGCAGCAATTCCCCAGCTCAAAGCATTCTCCAGCATCCTCTTCCCATTCATATCTTCATCATTCCCAGTTCTGGGCATCCTTCCAGGTTCCTCTTCCCATTAATCCTTTCCCCATTCCCACAGAAATTCCCGTGTCTGGGCATCCCCCAGGCTCCTTCTCCCATTAACCCATTCCCCATTCCCACAGAAATTCCCAGTTCTGAGCATCCTTCCAGATTCCTCTTCCCATTAACACCTCCCCCATCCCCATCCCCATTCCCATTCCCGGTTAACCCCATTCCCATTTCCCATTTACCCTTTCCCCATTCCCATTTCCCACTAACCGGTTCTCCATTCCCATTTCCCATTAAACCCATTCCCATTTCCCACTGATGCCTTTCCCCATCCCCATTTCCCATTTCCCATCCCCAATCCCCATTTCCCCATCCCCTCCCAGCTGCAGTGGGCATCAGGATCAGACCCTGCTCATAGGGAGGTCCTGCTCCATCCCCTCACATGTCCCACACTCCTCCCCAATCCCAGYCCCAAATCTGGAAGGAATCTTGAGGGTCACAGGTCTGAGCAGCTCCTTGTGCACCTCCCTCCCCTCATTTTGACAAAGATGCTCCCGAGGGAAGCAGATCCATTTCCCTCCTGAGAGACACCCCAAAAGCAAAATTCCTAAAGATGTACCCCTGTGCTTCATGGGTGTTTCCTTCCCTTGTACCCCTCCTGAAAGGATCAGAATTCTCAAAGCAGAGCAGGAAAAGATGCTGCAAAGGTCTCAAAATCGGCCTCACAGGGAAGAATTTCCTCCCAATATCCAGGCTAAATCTACCCTTTTTCACCTTAAACCATTAAACACACCCAGGACTGAGCCTTGCAGACACACTGGATTGCCAGAAATCTTCCCCCCAGCACATCAAACTCTCCACATCCCTGGGAGAAGTGGCCGGACTCTTGTTTGGAATGGTCTGTCCTGGGCTCACTCCCAAAGTGGACACTGAAGTTTTAATCTCAGTTATTCCCAT